AATTAAATTATTATTGAGTCTGAAAAGTCATATGCAATTAAGTGGTACAGTTTACTTGAAACAAGATACACATTTTTCCATATGATAAATATTTGAAGGGTACCCCTTATTATCTGTAATAGTGCACACATGATACAATTTTGGAGAATCACATCAAATTTGAGAAAATCTTTTACTTAGTAATAAACACATGGGGGGAAATCCAAGATAAGCTTAACTCTATCTTGATAATGACTAATCCTCTCAACAGTTGCTGGGGGGCACCTGGGTGGCTCATTGGTTAAGCATCTGTCTTCTACTCAGGTCAGGATCTTAGGCTTCACGAGTTTCAGCCCACATTGGGCTCTACACTGACAGCTCTGAGCCTGGAGCCTGCTTCAGATTCTGTGTCTCCCTCTCTCTCTGCCCCTCCCTTGCACACTTGTGCTATCTCTCCCTTTCTCCCTCCCTCCCTCCCTCCCCCTCCCTCTCTCTCTCTCTCAAAAATAAATAAAAATATTAAAAGAAACCACTAGCTGATTATTTTTTATCCTCTATCTAAGGCTGACTTCAGGTAAAACTGTGTGCTTCTTGGAGACCAAAGTTGTTCAGTTCAGTTTTGACCCCTTAAAGGCTCAAGAAAGTGCCTGACATATATTGGTGGTGTTGTAAATCAACACAAAAGGGGTGAAAATTTGTCTTACAGGCTACCCACTCACAGAAAATGCCTCTGCTTTTACTAGGTACTTCTTGATACTCAAACATCAAGCCAGTCCCCTTTTCTTAGATACCCAAAACAAATATATCCCATCTATTTTTTTACCGTTCAAGATGTTCCACTATTAATCATCAACTTCTTGTACCCTTTGTCTACCAAGAAAGCTGAAATCATTAGGCTCACAGTATTTCTTTTACTTTGTACTATCTGTCTCTTTTTCTTATACCTTGCTCTGGTATAGATGCCTCTACTTTCTTTCCAAAACTACTTTATGTGTGCTTTTTGGTGAATCTACCCAATAGTTCCTTTGAGAACATGGTCATTTTTCTGACTAAAGGGTGAATGGTGGGGTTTGGTGAGGGGACTGATGGCATGTAAGAAAAGCACATCAACAGGTGCCAAAAGGGCCACTTTGGAAGAACGTACATTCCTTTCCCTGAACCACACCATTTTTCCAGTCCTTAAACAGGCCAGTGTCAAGAATTTTCACTATTTTCCTCTCTACACAGATTCTTTTTTCTTTGCCATTAATAACTGTTGAGACACACATCTCACTGTGGCATAAAAAGAAATTTCACTCACTTCTGCTGCCATCTCTCTTCTAAAACAAAACTCCAAGAGAATATTCTATCTTATAGTTGTCATTTAATTTCTGTATTCTGCTTTCCATCCCTTCTCGATCAAAATGGCATTCTCAAAGCTCGCTAATGTCCTGCTAATCACTATATTGAAAGGTATTTCCTATGTTTTTGTTTTGTTTCCATGAACCTTTGTTTGTTGTCTCAATTTTCTTCCTAGTGTAACTTCATAGTATGCTGCTTTGGATTCTGCATCATTTCTCCTTCAAATGGTCTCCTAGTGGGAACATAGGCATGCTTTAATTTTCTCCCCAGGCTCATCCCAGCCCTTCCAACTAGCCTTCCCCAAGAATCAGTCTTTCTTTCATTTTTCCCTTTTAATATTCTTCCTCTAGGATCTATGTCTGATGTAGTTCAATTATCACATGTATGATTAGCATTCTCAATTGATTACAGAGCTCTAATCTGACTACAGAGCACCAGAATGGTATCTCAAGTAGTTGTCTGATATTTCCTTGTGGAAATATCCTTGTGGAAATGTTCTCACGTAACATCACAAACACCAAACTCATCGTCTTCTCTGTAAACTGGGCTATGTGAATGGTGCTAGTTCCTCAAGTAATGGATTTCAACATCTTGACCCTCCTTACTTCTTCCTTACGTTTAATCAATAATGCGTGACATTCTCTGAATCATTCCTTTGCTGTAGTTCCTGCAACAGCCCTTAACCAATAAATGTTTACAAAGAAGTTATAAAGAAAATTCACATATATCCAAACATGTCCTATACTCTGCCAGTTCAGACTCTTACTCAAGCTTTTCCTTCTCCTCCCTTTGTACTTCTAAGATCTTATCCAGCATTGAAGGCTCACCTCCAATATCAGCTCCAAGAAGTAGTTTTACTAGGGATAAATACTCTGTCCCACTTCAACTCCTATCATGTTTTGTTTATACAGTTAATTTTACACTTACCAGACTGCCTTATATGAAAATTATATATTCAAATATTGTTCTACTTCCAGATATAACTTGTGAGCTCTTGGAACACAGTAACCTTGACAACTCAGTTTTTCCTCAGACTTAGATCTGCCACAGTGTGTATACATTGTAAATACTTAAAAACTTACTAAGTGTCTCCAATTAAACTAAACTGAGATGGGATTTGAGTATTAGTAAATTATTAAGAAATCTGTATCCAGATGAAGACTGTCTGAAATTCCTTTGAAATGGTTAAAAGGCTTTTGACATATCACCCCAGAAAATAATAGCAAGATAAGGGATCAATGATATAAAACATAAATACAGTATCTTTTTCCCCCCAGTGGGCAATCAAAATTAGGTAAGAAATTATTACCTAATACTTGTTATCTGAAATTTCCAAAGAATAATGTTTTTTGTTGTAGTTACTGTTTTCAGCTTTGGATGTGTATTTTTCTTTCTACTTTAGCAATTTTTAGCTGTGTTGAAGAATCAAAGGGAGACAAAGGAACACTTGTTTAGAATACTTATTTAGCTAGTTGAAAGGTCTAAGACTGCCTTGATGCTGATAATGGTAGTTCATGCAAGAATGTTCCAATGCCTTTGCTTTTGAGAACCATCTCGGGCTTTCAAATATGATCAAACTTTATTTATAAAAATATTTGTGTATATGGAATTTTGAAGTTTTCTAGCTACATGCAGTATCTAGAATTTAAAAGTTTTTCACTCTGAGTTCTTTACATTTATATTTAACACAAGCAATATTGTGCCTTTATGACATTTTTTTTCTAATTTATAACAGAGTGACCAATTCAAACTTGAAGATATATTCTATCCAAATAGGTCACATGGGTTCCAAATAGCAAGATTTCATTCTTTTTATGGTTGAGTAATATTCCTGTGTGTGTGTGTGTGTGTGTGTGTGTGTGTGTGTGTGTGTCACATTTTCTTTATCCATTTATCAGTCAATGAATGATATGGATGGAACTAGAGAGTATTATGCTAAATGAAATAAGTCAGAGAAAGACAAACACTGTATGATTTCATTCATATGTGGAATTTAAGAAACAAGCAAGAGGAAAAAAAATGGAGAGAGGCAAAGAAAGAGACTCTTAACTATACAGAACAAACTGATGGTTACCAGTGGGGAGGTGGGTAGGGGGATGGGCTAAATAGGTAATGTGGATTAAGGAGTGCCCTTGTTGTGAAGAGAACCAGGTGTTCTATGGAAGTGCTGAATCACTATATAGTACACCTGAAACTAATATTATACTGTAGGTTAATTAACTGGAATTTAAATAAAACCTTAAAAAACCCAAATTGGCCATATGAGGAGTAAATAACACAAATTTTAAACAAACATATATAACACTACATCCCTTTAAAGGGGCATGTCAGCATGAAGTTACTTGGCATGTTTTGAGTATCAAAATGTTTTTGGTGGCAATTATCAGAATTGTTGAATTTCTTACTTGTGCTCATCTTTACTTTTTAACTGGTTTGGACTCACAAAGCATTTACCACACAGTCGTCATTTCATTACCAATCTTGCGGCAAATTCTGATTTAAAACATTACAGATGTATACAGATGGAGAGCTGACAGAGAATGGAGAAGAGGAAATAAGAGTGAAGGAAAGCAGGGCATAAATTCTGTGGGATAACCGACTTAATTGGCCTGGCTTATATTATTTACTAATCAAGTTGATAATGGACAACAATAAAACCACAGCTATTAAAATCTCAACGAAAAATAACTGATTGACTGGGTTTTATTTTCCCATGACCTAAATTAGATAGCTACCATGCCAACTTGATGACCGTGCCGGTCTGCATCAGCTTCATAAAACACTCCAGGGAATCTCACAGTTCACAACAGACTTTCACATGCAGTGCTACATATTCAACTTTCTTTCAGCCATATTTTTTTAGTGACAAATATAAAGTGTGAGCAGGAAAGGTAAAAATGTTCCACCCACTTAATTTTTATTTGGCATGTCTACAGACAGGTAAACACACAGGCTACTAGGAGATAAATGATTTTCATATTTCTTCACAAACACCCTAGGAGGAGAGAGAATTTTCTTAGTATAAAACTCAGTCCTTATTCTGTCAGGCAAAGTAATTATGGAACCAAAACAAATCCACATTGTCTAATTAGGTCATTAAAAAGCATAAATGCGTCATGGAAGCTTTTCCCCTTGCCTAAGACATAAAGTAAGACAATGAAAACAATCTGGTAATATAGAAAGGTTCAGAATTTGTTTCTTTTCAAAAATAATAGGTCCTTTCATCTTTCTATTTCCCTAAGACGAAGACAGTTAATTTAGAGACAAAATCTGTAATTAGTTCAGGGTTTACTTTGATTATGTTTCAAAATATTTAACCAAAAACAGGAAGATAGAGAAAGAAAGAAAATACACTGAAAAATTATCAAAGGAAGTGAATAAAAGCAAGAGAGTGGGTTGCTGATCAAAATGTATTGTGCAGAGACAAGATGAATATAAAATCTACATTCATGTAAACACAACCAATCTGGGATACCAGAAAGCTCTCAGGAAGAATACGCAGGCATCTGCCTTTGGGATTTCAAACCAGACTTTAATCACAACTAACTTAAATAAAAACAAATGGCATGATTATTTGCCTCTTCCTCTTTCTACTTGTTATTTCTTGAGTTTTAGAAGACTCATGGCTCAAAACGTTAAGAAACGAAATGCAAAAAAAAAGGAAAGGAAAACAAACTTACCTGTGATCCTCTTGGCCCTCGCTTGTGGTCCCATTCTGAATGCCCCATGAGCTGTAATATAATATAATAATTACCATAAATTCAATGATGCTTATTTTATGTGGCAAAAAATGTGTACTCCTTCTTCTAAAGATCAAGTTTTTGAAATCTAAGTTTTAATAGTAATGTATTAAATAGCTATCATGAATAAATTAATATACCTAGTCATAATAATTTCTTTGATAGCTAAGATTCCAAATGGTAGTTGTTTTGAAGATATTTTAATATTACTGTCTGATAGAAAGAGTCTGCTAATACATAGCTTTATGGTTCTTTTGTCAGAATGTCCTAGAGAGATGTTAACCCAGGTTAAGCTTTTTAAGTTTGTAAGCCATTAGGTTTCTAGTTTATTAAGAAAATACGCTAAATAAATCATTAGTATAGCTTAATTTACTGTCATGAATGACAAAAATGAGAAGGCAAAAATATTTCAATCATTTTTAATTCTGTTTTGATAATATCACAAAACATGGGAATTCTAAAGAGTGAAATGATTTAATGTGAAATATGCCCCCAAGGTCACAAAATGTAGATTTACATCAAAAGAGACACTATAAGACATTATCAAGTTTGTCCCATAGTTGTAATGGCCCTGAACTACTCTACTTGCAAAGCATTGTATTTATTTATTGAAAACAACATTCAACTAGAAGAATACTAAGAAAATAGAAGATGTTGACTGAAAGGAATAAAACTCCATTCATCTGTCCAGTACACTTACTATTCGTGTGTCCCAATGGAAGAATTCCCCATCACTAATAAACTAGCACACCAACAGGACAGACCCTTCAACACATGCATATACATTATTAGATTTTCTATACCACAGCAATGATTTCTTAGTGGATATAAAGAAATCTGTTCAAAAACTGAGAACAAACTGAGGGTTGATGGGGGGTGGGAGGGAGGGGAGGGTGGGTGATGGGTATTGAGGAGGGCACCTTTTGGAATGAGCACTGGGTGTTGTATGGAAACCAATTTGACAATAAACTTCATATATTGAAAAAAAATAAAGAAATCTGTTCACAACACAATAGCAACAAAAAAGTATTATAGTTTTGAACATTAGCAAGACATGTGATAACCATAAACAGAAAACGGTAAAACTTTTCTGATGGTCATACAGTGTTCCTGATTAAAAAGACTGAATTGTATAAAATTATTAAGCGTTCAGTTCTACCCACACAAATTTACAGGTTTAACCTAATTTCAGTGAAAAGTGATCCATATTTGTTTAGGAAACTGAAAAAAAAAAACAACTAGGTAAATTTTATCTGAACAAACATTGGTAAGAATGAGAAAGTATTAGAAGAGATAGTAATACCCTAGGGGATATTAAAATATATTCTAAAATTTAACCCTAATTATGAGCTAGTGATTTAAGACTCAAAATATAAATGAATGAGATGTAGTGGACATTTGTGACATGAACTCAAGTACATATGGCAACAAAATATGAAAAAGAAAACATAAATATCAATGAGTATTTGATGAATTAGTCAACAAATGAAAAAAAGAGAAATAGATTCTTTGGAAAAAAATTAGAGCTGAACCTTATACACAAATATTAATTCTAGATAGATAAAAAGACAAATTTAAAAAGATAAAAAGCATAAAATAAAATAAAGTCCAGGCAAATGTTTAAACTACCTTGAAATGTGAAAAGATTTTCCAAACTAAACAAAACACACACATACACAGAGAATCAAAACACACAGACACACACGCACATACACACAGGATTACGATTCACCTACATAAAATCCTCAAATATCCGTGTACAAATGTCACACTGGCAAAATATTTGCTTTAAATGGCAGGTAAAAAAAATAAGTATCTTCAATACACTAATTTTCTACAAATTTGAAAGTAAAGCAACTTAACAAAATAATTACAGGAAAGATAGTTCACAAAACAATTATCAATAATCAATACTGGAAATAACTTTATTTGAAGTGAAAAAATTTCAATATAAACAAAAGCAAGAAATGACGCTTGCCTATTAAATTAGCAGACTGATAATATTCTGGGAGCTTAGTATGCCTATATATTGCTAGTATGTAGTGCACAGATACACACATATGTATATATTTACATACTTGTAAATACAGACATGTATACACTATATATATCAATTTTAATAGATATTGCATACTCTTAAAAATTCATACCCTTTGAATTAGAAAATAAAAATGTAAAAATCCAGTAATTATAATGTGTCAATCACTGTGTCATCCAACCACAGGGGAACTATCCACTAAATTAGAGTATACAAAAGAATATAATATTGCATTTACAATGTGGCCTTCAGGGCCCTTTTAAAAATTACATGCAAAATGCTCAAGTTTTAATAAGTGAAAAATATAACAAAGTAATTTTAAATTACTCATTTTTAATAAGAAGGCCAGTTATTGTATGCCTTGGAATTAGTGAAATGATTTAATTATAATTTGGCTAGCACACAGTTTGGGGTAAATTAGCCCAGGTAATCATCATATAACTTGAATGTTTACGCTTAGTGGACATTTCTTTAATGCTTTAACTTTTTTTAATTTCTGGATTTAATGGCATTACATCTGCTAGTAAATATTAATACTTACATAAAGTTGATTATAAAAAAAGTTAAATACTAATCAACTAGTGAAATAGTCTGATTTAGAAACATATAAATCAACATTTAATTAGTTGTTCTCCAGAACTATCAAAACCCATTCCTGACACACTTCATCACCTGCCTTATTGACCTATTATTATTAAACTATTATTATTGACTTTTGTCAATAATAGGAAGAAAAAAAATAATAGAAAGAGGAAATACTTGCTTTGGCAACTTTAAAGAGATGATAACTTGAGTACTACCTAAATTTTCTGAAAATAGTATTTTATAAAAACTGTTATGCCATTATTGTCTTGCTAATGACTTTAATGGGATAATTTAATAAATTCTATCATGAGTGTCACAATAAAAAGAGGTAAGTAAACCACAAACACAAGTTATAGTACATAATACATAATACATTGAACAAAAACTTTCAAAATACAGAGTCACTTGGGTCATCCCTTAGCACAGAACAAGATAAACTTGGTAATAATAAGCCAGAGCTTATAAACCTCCAAAAGTTCACTCTCTAAATCTGACCTTTTGATTTAGGGTAAAGGCATTCTATTTTATTCTATTATTACATATTTATTTTATATATTATTATATTTAAAAGTCTGCGTGGACCACCCATTTGGTAGTATTTCAAAATGTATTTTTAAATGATACTATCACTACTTTTTTCAAAATAATGAAAAGTTAAAGAAATCTACATGCTATGCAATAAAATGAAAAAAGCAATAAACTCTGAAATGATAAACAAGATACTGTAATATTCTCTATTTGATGTAAAGAGAGTCAAAGAAACTTCAACAAGATTTTTTTTTTCCCTTTGGACTTGAAGAAATCATACAAAGACTTTGTTTTTAATTAAAATAATGAGTCAAAATGTAACATTAATTGTTTCAGTGTCGAATGTATGGGTTTTGTTATAATATTCTCTGTAATTTGTTTTTTAAAGGCAGTAGTAGGAAGTAGTGGGGGTGCTGTACAGGGTGTCAGGGCTCGGCTCTCCCTGTGATTACATCATACCCGGCACAGGTAGGGGTGAGGTAGGGAGTGAGGATAAGCACATGATAGCACATGCATTTTCATCTTATTTGCACAAAGAATTTATTTTACTATCATAACAGCACTGCCCTTAGACAGGACAAAAGACTAAAATAACCACAATGTGGGGCGCCTGGGTGGCGCAGTCGGTTAAGCGTCCGAATTCAGCCAGGTCACGATCTCGCGGTCCGTGAGTTCGAGCCCCGCGTCAGGCTCTGGGCTGATGGCTCAGAGCCTGGAGCCTGTTTCTGATTCTGTGTCTCCCTCTCTCTCTGCCCCTCCCCCGTTCATGCTCTGTCTCTCTCTATCCCAAAAAAATAAATAAACGTTGAAAAAAAAAATTAAAAAAAAAAATAAAAAAATAAAAATAAAATAAAATAACCACAATGTTTTCACTATCCCTTTTAAAAAACCATCTATAGTGTGATAAACGGCCTGACTTATTTATTATTACAGATTATTTACATTAAAATGAAGCATTTGCCCACAGGTAAGTATTCCTGTTAATGCTGTACCATAGGACTAAATGCTTTAGGAAGTATATAGACATCTCATTAGCTTCCCTCTCATGACTAAATTAAAACAAACCAAAAATCTTGGTTATAATAAACAGTGAAAAGGAGATCTTGAACAGGGAAGTCAGTGAATTTCAGAATTAAGTGCAAACCAATACTGATGAGAAAGTCAAAACATCCTTCGAATCAAACAGGTAGGATTAGTATTAAGTTGCAGATGACAAGAGTAGTCATTTGACATTTTCATGGGCTTAGATGAAAGAAATCGGTCATGGACCATAAGGAACAGAAGTAGAAACTGTGGAATTATCTTTTTTTTCTTTTTGCACTTTAATTCATCTGGACTAAACTTTCAAGAAAAATGAAGAGCAGCATGATACCTAGATAACTCTGGGGAAAGAGACACTTCATTAACATGATATGATACTCTTTCTGGAGAAAGAATGCTTAGGATTTTATGATTAGTTATGTACAGTTTCTAGAAATGTAAGAGAGAACGAGAGACACATACTGAGACTGACTAGAAAAATGAAAAAAAAAAAGGTTTTCGAATGTATTCTAGCTGGTCAAGAATACATGGCTGCTTAATTCAGGAAGAAAAAAGAATGTTTGCCTCTCACCTTTAAAAAATACCTTCTTAACTACTGAAATATGATTACCCCTCTGGGTAAAGGCATTTTAATAAGAAGGTTTGGGGATATATAGGTCACCAAAGTTATACCCACAAATGCTAAACAAAAATCTTTCTAGCTGATGAAGGAATTCTCAAAAAAAAAACAACAACAACAACAACAACAAAAAAAACCACAGAGTTATCTCTCTTCTTTTCCAGGTCCCACTAATCAAGA